CTCCACGACATGGCACACCCGGAGACGGTGCGCGCCCCACCCCCTCGCTCTCCCTTCCCCACAGTCGCCGGGCGGGGACCGGCGGCGCCGCAGCCTCGCAGATTGGTTCCATGCTCCTGCCCCCGCTGCCGCTTGAAATAATTGATACACGGCACCGCCACCGTCGACGGCCGGCGGCCTTACGTTGCCTGGAGGGTGCTCCACAACCCTGACCCACTTCCTTGTCAGCTGACCCCAGCATTGAGACGCCCGCCGCCCCGTCCCGCCCAAAAGGCACTGGCCGCCATTCGCAGGGCCATTAAGCCTGACGGCCTCTTTCTGATCTGCGACATCAAGGGCCTCGGCTGCCCCGCGGCCAACATCGAGCACCACCCCCTGGCAGGCCTGCTGTACGGTGAGATGGGGGATCGTGTTGTGGTGGCGTGGGGATACGTCCGTGGTGTGTCATGCGTTGGGTTAGGTTGGGTCGGGCTGGGTTGGGTTATTTTTTGGGGGGGAAAGGCCTTGCAGGAAAAGGCCATGCCGCGAAGCCCCATGGTTTGCCGGCGGGGCCGGCGTTGGCTGCCTCGGAGCGACAACGCAACGCTGGCGCGGCCGGCCCCTATGCACCGGGTGCGCAGCGGGCGGGCCGCGCCTGATTCCGCACCTTTTGCATATTGCACCGCAGGCCCTTGGGCCGCGAGTCCCGGCATGCCTTGTCATCGTCTCAAAGGGTTAAACATCAACAAACACATCCCCCACGTTCGGCCCCCTCACACACACTCACACGACCCCTCGACCCTGACTCATGCATCACCCCCCTCGCAAGCAGCCGCCTCCCACCACGCTTTCCCCCGACCCGGCCCCGGGCCCTGACCTTCCCTCCATTTCCCTCCCCGGTCAACCCCTGGTCAATGCCCGCCTGGCTCCCCCACAAAGGCTTCAGCGTGTCGTGCTGCATGAGCAGCGCCCTGAGTGAGCCCGGCGGCCTGGGCCTGGGCACCCTGGGGTTCCACGCAAAGGTGGGGTGGGGGTAGGGCTTGCACAGGCGGAGAGGGGGAGTGTCGCTTGTCCATATGTTGAGTTTGCGGGGCTGGTGGGGCTGATGGAGCTGGTGAGACGAGCTGCTGAGAGTGCCGCGACTGATGTGGTGTGTGATCAGCCTGGCTGCCCCATGGGGTTGTAAAGCACTGCCGTCCGGGCGGGGGGCGCGGGTCCCAGTTGAGCCAGCCTTGAGGGCTGGCCGCACCTGTGTCGCTGGCCATGGTCCAGCCCGAGCGCCTCATCCCTCCTGCTGGCCTCAACAACAAATCTTGGGGCCCTGGCGGCGCACCGCGTTTGTCGCCCGCAGGTTGCCGAGAGGATGGTGAAGGAGGCAGGGTTTACACAGTTCAAGGCCCTGGACTGGGAGAGCGACCTGAACGCATGTGAGTGTGCCCTGTCCTGCTGCGACGCTCGAGCTTGAGGGTGAACAGCCTTGGTGGGGGTGGGAGGAAGAGGGGCGGAAGCCCAGGCGGGGCGGGCCTGTGAACGGAAAGAGCAACGCGCCTGCAGCCGTGGGAAAGCCGGCCATGCACACGTGGCAGTCGGCGCGGGCGCCTGCTGGCTCCGATCAGCAACTGTCGGGGGCCAGGCTGCGCGGCCGCTGGCGCGCCGCTCGTCACAACCGTGCGCCACGCCACACATTGAAACATGGTATCGCCCTTGCTGGGTGTTGGCCCCATCTCACCCCCTCCTGCAGACTATCTTGTGAGGCCGTGAGGGCGCTTCCCACGGCCAAGGCAAGACGGGCCTCAGGCTCCTTCAACGCTTGCCACCAGTGATATGACACCAGTGAAACGACGTCACGCCGAAAGATGATGAAGCCGTTTATTGGGGCGCGGCCGAGGCACATGCACGGCCAGGGGCAGACATCCGAGTGGGCGGCTGTCCGCCTGCTGGATGCAAGCGGCGCGCTGCTGTTGCGCGCGGCGGCGCGGCATCCTGGTCTTGCCATTTCGGTGCTACTGGCAAAAGGATGATCGGTCGTCATGCGGATGACGCCTGGGCGATCCACGATTATCCGGCTTGAGGGGGGTTGATTGATGTCCATCCCAGATGGCAAGGGTTCTGTTGCACTTCCAACACGCAAGCATGATGTGATGATGCATTTGTATCAGGTGCTATTAGGAGGGTACTTTACGGCTCACATGGCTCTTTGGCCAAGCAAGTGTGTCGCAGTTGAATCTGCACGCGCTTTGCCATTCATCCTTATTCACGCCCCTTGAACTGCCAACAAGCGATGCGCGCTTGGTGCACTTGACGCACTCGTTGCAAATAGGAGAACTTGTGTTGTTGCTTGAAAACGCGGGTCAGGGCTCTTGATGGCACAGTAACAGGCCACCCTGCTGTCGGGGTTGAGGGAACGTGCATGTTGCAAGCACAGCAAGGTACAATATGCTGCAGTGATTTGACCCGCATCTGACCACGTAAAGAAAAGGAGATCTGAAGCTGTTATGGTCCAATTGATACCTAAACATTCAGGCAACCACAGACGCTGTGATCAGCAGGCTCTGAGGCTCCGCTCTGCTTGTTGCATGTGCATCCCCACCCCCCCCCCCAAAGCCTGCAGTGTCCAGCTCGCAGGTGCCACATGGCACCGATATCCTCCATATGGCACAACAAGATATAGCCAAAATCTAAAATCGGCCCACGTTCTTGAAACTGCTCTCGTAGATTGATAGATCCGTCCGACGATCTATCATAAGGAGCACGGTAGCTCAAATGCAACAGCCACAGGGCGCTGATACATCAAGTAGAGACGTACTTGCATCTACGGGGCAGCATCAGACGCAGCTGCTGCTGGCAACCTGCCATCAGTTGCTAAAAGCGTACAGCAGCGCAGCAGGGGGCGACGATGCAGGGCAGCAACGGCGCGACCTGCAGGAGCAGTATCTTTCGACATCAGCAGCGCTTCGACAGACGCTGCAGCAGTGTCAAGAGCTGGAATCCGCGGCTGCGGCCGCCCAGCAGGCGTCCATGTCAGGTGCGCCGCAGGGCGCACCACCATGTGGTTGTCGGCGATGTGCATGCCACTTTTTGTCCGAAACTTGAGCAACCATAACAGCAGCGGGAGCAGCCATGACAGCAATGATGTAAGCACCATCAGCTGCCCCCTTCAACCCCTAGAAGCCGCCCTGCGCAGCGCAGTTGTGCAGTCCCTTGGTGTCGTCCCCACCGACATGCCCTTCCTGCCGCATCCATCCTGCCACATCCATCCTGCCACGCCCTCCCTCGCCGTGCTCAAAATCTCGGGAACCCCCCCTGCCAGCCTCTGATGAGTCAGACCCCGAGGTCCAGCAGCTGCGCGCGCGCGCTGAGGAGCTGCGCCTGCGGCTGGAGGACAGGAACGCCCTGATCAAGGCCGCCATAGACCGCCTAAGGCAGCTGCTGGACGCGCTCTGCATGTGGGACAGCAGCCGGCGCGAGCTGCAGGCGACGGCAGGATGAGTCGTGCGGATCGCGGCTCAAATGGGCCGCGCTGAGCTGCTGCTTGGGCCTGCAGCTTCACCACAGGGTCCGCAGGTGACACCGCTGACCGACCTGCAAGTTATGACCATCGATGTTTGCAGCTGAGTTTTTTGGGGTTTGACGGCGCACTGTATGCAGTTTTCGGCAGGTGGCGCGTTGATTTTTTGTCATCCAAACACTGTTTGACTCTCAACTGACCATTTCAAATGTGTGCGTATGTGCCCAAGCACGCCGCTGGCTAATCTTGGGAGCATTGTACAGTACATGCAGCTGCCGTGCTCACTTTTCCCGACACAATGTTTTTGTCGCCTGCCACGCACCCAGTTTAGTAGATGCACAATTGCAGTAACCAACGACACTGCCTTGAGGGAGCCCCTGCACTTGCAGCCACGCGCGACTCCGGCCTGGGCATGTGGGCACAGTTGTACCACAGACTGGAACTGGGACACCCACACACCTAGGTGACATCTATGGTCGCAACTGGGTGGACGTCCATCCCACAAAGGTGGCTGTGGCGCCCCTGGGCTCCTGCTGCACAAGCAACAACGTGGTGGCAGCTCCCAGAGCCCCTGCATGCGCTCGCGGCGATTGCAGTGGCGGGCCACACGCGCTGCCTGGGCACTGGCCCAGACATGAATCCTCTACCTAGGAGGCCTAAACATAAGCTCACTGGACACATCTAGTTCCCAGGACTCAGCTTGGCCCACGTGGCTCATCCCACGATTGCGAGCGCGCCGGCGAGCTGGCACCAGCTCTGCTTGAGCAGGTCAAACGGCCGCCATGACAAGGCCGCTCCCAAAACGACACACAGCCCTTGTCGAGGGAGCCGCCCACGCGCATGCAGCAATACCCTACCACTGATAAGCGTAGACCATTGAGCGAGTTGTGCAGCAGCTGCCGTGCTTGCTCACACTAGAGACCGATTCGATGTTGTGTTTGTCACCACCAGGTGCCTTTATTCAATCGCAATCTCATTGTGTGAGGTTCGGAATTTGAATCTTGCCACGCTTGCTGCTTGGTTCAGCACGAGCATCGGCGGTCAGAGGGGTTTGTGCGTGCTAGCAGCAGCCCTCGGGCGAGCCACGGTCTTAATGGGAAAAAAGCATGGCACTGCATCCCTAGGTCAGGGCTAGGCGCTGCAGATCGCCCGGGAGCGCCAATAGCAGCGCGCCATGACGGGCGAGCTGCACCATCGCAGCAGCACGGGTGACGGCCTTGGAGAACCGGATTTGGTGCCAGCATGCGCTGTGGCGAGCCGCGGCGCGCCTTCGCCGCTGCTGCAGAAGCCCGTCGCCGTGGCCACGCTGCAGCCCTCGCCGGTCCCGCAGCGCCTGCAGCACCTCGGCCCCCATCGCGTCGGCGGCCACTGCCCGTCGCGCCAGCGCCACGGGCCCTCGATCGAGCTCTGGGGCGTCTCGGTGCACCTCCCGCGGACGTCCATCCTCGTGCGCGTGCTGGCGGCGGCGATTGCGTTGTTGGTGTTCGTGCAGGCGGTGTCCTGTGGCATGTTCTTCTGCGTCGCCGTGCCGTTCGGCCACCGCGCCAGCTACGTTGACGTGCGCGACATCGTGTCTGATGTCCCGCTGACGCAGCAGGCCGCCGCCGCCGGCGGCGCCGCCGCCGCCGCGTCCGCCGCCGCCGGCGCCGCGCTGCTGCCGCACCACGGCCCGCCGCCCGCCGTGCTCTCCACGCCCAAGCTCATCCCCCGCATCGTCCACCAGACGTACCGCTCGAAGCGCTTCCCGCGCGGCGTGCGGCCGCTGGTGCGTTCGTGGCGCGCGGTCAACGGGGACGGGTGGGAGGTGCGGTTTTACGACGATGTCGCCGCGGTCAGCTTTGTGCGGCGGGAGTTCCCAGAGTATCTTGAGGCCTACCTGGCGCTGCCAAAGGACGTGGAGCGCGCCGACTTCTTCAAGTGAGCGGCCCAGGCCTCGCGTCGCGGCCCTGTCGGGGTTGTTTATTTGGGGGGGGAGAGGAGGGACGCGGTTGTGCGGCTTGGCTGACGCCGCGGCGCGGGGGGCGCGCGGCCAGCGGACGGCCAATGCGCTGTTTGGCGCCGGCCCGCGCCGACGCGCCCGCCGACGAGCCGCGCCCCCGCCCCCATTGCCCAGGTACATGGTGGTCCTGCGCATGGGCGGCGCGTACGCCGACATTGACACCGAGTGCAAGCGCCCGCTCGACGCCATCATCACGCCCGTCGACACGCTCGTCGCCGGCTGGGACGCCGAGGTGCCCGACGCCGCCACCGCGGCGCGGCGCCAGATGGCGCGCCGCCGGCAGCTGCTGCCCTGGTTCTTCGCGGCCGCGCCCGGCCACCCGGCGCTGCGGGAGCTCTGCGACCACGTGGCGCGCAACGCGCACAACCAGTTCAGCAACAGCAGCGTGCGGGACACGCAGGAGCGGACGGGGCAGGGGGTGTGGACGGACGTGGTGCTGAAGCACGCGACAAACGGCATGGCGGCAAGGGTGCGCGGGGGCGGCGGGCATTGTGGAGGGGCGGGGTTGTGGTGGGG